CCTCCGTCGCTCCGCGTTTGTTTTGCTCCGCGCTGCGGCTCTCGCCCGCCCGCCCCATTGCACGCGCCGGCCACGGCCAATAACGCGCCTTCAAAGAGAGCGCCCGCGCTTCGCGGAAACGGGTTGCGTCGCCGAAATGGAGCCCACGCGCGTTATTTATTCTGTTGGGAAGCCACGCAGGCGTTCAATGCCTTTTAGTACTATAGGATTATTGATCCGAACATGGAAGTTGTTTACCACTCGATTTGTTGTGTTTGCACAGTTAAAGGTGACGGGAAACATAATTAATGTTGTCCTAATTTGATACTCTTCATCGATGTAGAGATGCGCAGAGAGAAATATAATATTTGTCGTTCGTAGAAGTGTGTTTGAACTTTATAGTGATTATTGTTTAATTATCAATTAACTTTCATCCAGTATTTTTAGTTTTGTAATGTAAGTAATATATCAATGAACTTTTATTTATTAGAATAACATTTATAAACGCGTTCTAAATGACACTGTGTAAAATTGGATATGTGAAAATGAATATGAGATCGGAGAGGAAGTGGGAGAGTAGAAAAAAATGAAGGAGAAAAACGAATGGGCATTTCGGGGGATTTAGGACTCTTTCGTAACACAACACTTTGCTCAGTTTCTGAGCAAAAATTTTGTAAAACTCTTCGCTCAGTTTCTGAGCGTCAGTACTTGGTACAATTCGGCAGATATTGCGTTCAGGGCAGCTTAAACGGACGCAGCCGCGCGACGGGAAAAGCGCCCGCCGAGCGACGCTAATGGAAGGACCGAGCGAGCGAGCGTTTTTGCGTATATTGCCAGGCGCCTGTCGGGCAATCATTTACGTCCCCGGCAATGACAGAAGCGGCTAGAAGCAACAGGGGACGGGAGGCACCCGACGAAGGGAACCGGAGAACACGGGATGTCAAAGGCAGCGTGAAAGCATCGGCCACAACACACTGCCACTGCAGTTCAATTCAGAGACTAAATAAAAATTAACTGTATGAAAGACTTAAAAATGTGATAGAATTACAAGTGCTTTTATATGACTTTCGGTGAAATGTTTAACAATTCGTTTAATTTTTATCATGTAAAAATATGAATGTTAGCAGTTTTTATCAAATATGCATTTATTGAATTCTAATGGTGTGTATTTTCAATGTAAATATTTTTTAAAAGTATATGTCAATCTCTGGCAAGGTTCCCTGGCTGAAGAAAATTCAGTTGCGTCAGAACACAATAAATTGACAATAAAAATGGTACTGTTGAGAACGTTCTCATAAATATAGAGTAATCCGTTTCTTTGATGTCCATCAGTTATTCTCCACATAAAGCAATAAAGAGGCAATTGTGCGAGGCGTAGTTGTATAGAAGAGCTATTGAATGAACCAGGCGAGACGCGATACACTTAGCAATACGTTTGAATCTAGAGATGTAGCATGTATTTCTATTAGAAAAGAGGGAATGCATTTGGAAGTAGATG